GCTGGCTTTCTCTGGGTAGGGTTCCACATCTGTGGTTTGTTGTTGGGATTGACTGTGAGTAGTTCTGATTACTGAGTTTTGAACAGTGACCTGGAGTACTTATGACCAAATGTGAGGCCCCTCAGTGCCCTGATTTTCCTCAACTCCACAGGTCACAGTGAGGAAGACAATGACAATAGTCCAGAGTCACCATTAGACTCAAAGTGAACATGGAATGTCTTCTCTTTTTTCAAGCCAGTGATATTTTGGGAGTTTTTTATTGTATCCTATCCTATCTTGAATCCTCCTATGCACACTTCCTTGCAACACTGGAAGAGTAGATATAGAGAAATCCATGCTCAGGCAAGCTCCCAGAGCATGACTGCTTCCCAGGGCCAAGGTGATTTGGTTCCAATCTTTATAGTCAGGATGATTGATGATGATAATTACTGATGATGATATATATATCATCAATATAGAAGAAGCAGGCTTCCTCTATTTTTTAATGATAAATAACTTTGCAAAGTAGAATGAATGCATTTTGGGGGGGAGGAATAGTATGATATAAGAATTCTACAGAACATATAATACTTATATTCCTTTCCATGCATTATAAAATATTTTTTAGAATAAAAAAGACAAGGCCTTGTAGTAATCTAGCTCTGCACACTCAAATAATCTATCAAGCTGATCTCTTCCTGAATTATCATATGACAAGCAGGCAATGATCTCCTAGCTCACAAAAACACTTCATTATAATTACTGTAAGAATGGTGTTGAGGAGACTTGCATTGTATTCAGAGGATAAAAATGTTTCCCTGATCTAACGTTGCTTCCCCAGAGCAACTAGTTTGTTTTTATGTGATAAATACAATGCTAAGAAGTTGATTATTGATTTTAGGATCAAACCCAAAAAGTATAGAGGACTTTACAATATATATTTTGTGTACTGACTTGACTTTTACCTATCAGATAAAAGTTAAAGAGGCTGGAATGTTGATATACAGTTATTTTTCCTTAGTGTGGTCACAGTTATAAATTTGTAATGGTGCTTAAATAGAAGCAGCCTAATAACTAGACATAGAATAGTAGTTAAATTTATGGGCTCTGGAGCTAGGTTAGTTGTATTTAAGTCTTAGCTGCGCAATTTGGTAACTGTCTTAGTCCAGGCTGCTATAACAGAATAGCACAGAATGAGTGGCTTAGAGACAACAGGAATTCACTTCTCACAGTTCTGGAATTTTAGAAGTCCAAGATCAAGATACTGGCAGATTTGGTGTCTGGTAAGGGCCCTTTCCTGGTTAATAGATGTGGGATCTTCTAGTTGTGTTCTTTGACGGTTGGGATGGATGCGGGAGCTCTCTGGGGTCCTTTTTATAGAGCACTAATCTGTCCTTTCAATATTCAGATTCAGTCTCTAATGGTAGCTACGTGACACGTTATTTTACTTAAGCAAGTTATTTTACTGTGCCCCAGTCTCCACATCTCTAAAATGGGAATAGTTTCCTCAGTGGTTATGAGGATTAAAAGCCTTAGTTTTGGACAACTACTAAAAACACGTAGTAGTTCTATGGACATTACTAAGAACATTCCCTGGCATGTTAGCTATTAAAACTAGTTCTCTAATCATAAATGGCCAGTGATTATAAATCACTCCACATGGTTCAGTCAAATCAACATTACTGGAGAGCCTGTACTATAATGAGCACCATGGTAGCTCCTATAAATACAAGGATGAATAAGACCTGACCCTTGTTTTTAGCTCATGGGAAATAGTAGCCTAAAAGGAGAAAGGAGAACGATATGTAAATTAATAGTGGCAGCACAGTGGGTTAAAGTGAGTAATTTAAAAAGGATCTTGTCTGTCTTGATCACCTCTGTAACTACAACACTAAGAACAGAATTTAGGTACATTAATGGTGTTCAGTAAATGCTGAATGAAAAAAAAAGTGAATGAATGCATGTAGTAAGAAAGGTAAGTTGGGAGCCAATCATGAAGGAATTTGTACACCATGAAACAGATTTTGGACATGTATTTAATAGGTAATACTGAGGAGAGATTGTTGCTTAAAATAGAATTAGGGTTCCCACAGCACAGTGGATGATGGAACAGTTGGCAAGGTGGTCCAGAAGGATGAAGTGAATTGGAATGAAACTGCCCAGAGGACAGACAGCAGGCAGTAGGGGATAGAAAGGTGATAATTCTGAATCACATGGGGAGTGTGTTATAGGTCATGAGTATGTTATGCATTGTTGGAGTAAAAACTGCTACCTTTATATAAAGTTACCGAGCCTAGAGTCCCAAACTACCCAGATCCAAAGTTTGCTGTACTTGGAGGAGCAGGGAGGGTGGAGGAGGAGAAAAGAGGTGAAATAGGTGAGTGAGGTAAGAGGAGAGAATGAGGAAAGTAAGTTTTGAAGCCTCAACAATTGGGAGCTCTTCACAATAAGCCAAACCCTGGCAGGCACGAAGGAAGTTTGCATATGTCTGCTGTCATTGAAAACATTCATTGGATTCATCTGGAAAGTAAACTTCTGATTTAATCTCTTTGTTTCATGTTATTATACGTTCAGGTTGGTAAAGAATGCACACGTGCTTTATGACTCATATTCTTCTAGGAATGGCGTAGCTTGAGACAGGACCTTTGGAAGCAGTATTACATCTTCCAGGAATGCATGTATTTGAAGGCAACCGGGAATTTCTGGCATAACTGCAGAACTTATGAGATTTAAATTTATGCTTTACAAACAGATGGACACTTAGCATAGCACTGGAATAAAATGAGGGCATACTTCCCTTTGCTCGGTAGAGGTCATTCTGACCAGCAGAAGTCACACTTAAGATACAGGAGGCGATGCAGAGAGCTCCTTTGTTGGCATATTTCATATGTAAGTTGACATCATTAGAGATGTGAAGACATGACCTGATTTTGAGAGAAAAATATTAAAATCTAAGGTATTTCTCCAGAAAGTGAATCTTTATATGAATCATCATCTATGATTCATTCCTCCCTTGCATTTTAATATTTTACACCTTCATTGATCTGTCTATTCACTCAGCAAATATGTATACACATGCTAAACACTCTTGTCATAGTGAACAAAATAGAGATGCCATCTGCCCTTAAAGAATTCCCAGGTTAAGCAGAAAAAGAACAAGAAATAAGCAATTACAATGCAACATATTCAGGTAAGCATAGGTGCCAGGGGATTTTTGAACAGATTTGGGCAAAGTCTAGCCTGAGACCTGAAACGCCATCTGAGAAAGGTGGCAGAAAGGGGTTTTCTTGCTGGATTTGCTTCTCCCTCTACCATAAGTTTTCCCCAAATATTGAGCCACTTCCTCTTTTAAACCACAACCTATATTTGATCAAGATTTCCGCAGACTGATATTGGACAAAAAATAACTTTACCAAATATTAAAGATGATGAGAAAGGAAAAAAAATTCAGAAGATACAAGCAGCATTGAAATAGTCAACTGTTCAAAGTGTAAAATTTTATTCCCTATGGTAGCTACACACTGGTCCAAAGAAGTAAGTAGTGCATTTTTGCCCACATCTCGCCTCACTTCCTGCTTTCCTGGGACTATATCTCCTTGGGGAAGGGACATTTATTTCTGCAAGTGGGAAAACAAACTTCTAGGTAACTGTCCATTTCCTAGGAAAACCTAAAAAAATGGTTATCATAAATATATTTCATTATTATTCCTAATTCTTGGCAAATGAGATACTTTCCCCCATGTCTAAGTGGCATACCTAAAGTATGCAATGAAATGAATGATCTCATGCTTATTCCACAAAAGGTAATGCTTTTACTGAAACTGCTTGCATAGAACACTTTAGCTGTGTGATGCATACACATATACTACAAGAAATGACACTAAAACTCAAAAGAAATGTTCATCCTTGAGCAGTTGCCATATGCAGTAAATCACTGTCCAGTTAATCTGAGAGCAAGATTAAAGCAATTTCTCCCCTGCTGGTGTAGCTCAGTGGTTGAGCATCGACCTATGAACCAGGAGGTCATGGTTAGATTCCTGGTCAGGTCACATGCCTGGGTTTCAGGCTGGATCCCCAATAGGGGGCATGCAAGAGAAGTCTATCAATAATTCTCTCTCATCATTGAAGTTTCTATCTCTCTCCCCTCCCTTCCTCTCTAAAATCAATTATATATATATATATATATATATATATATATATATATATATATATATTTAAATCCTGAACTAAAAGAAAAATGTTTTTCTGCTAAAAGGGGCATTATTGAAACAACTGGTGAAATGGGAGTGGGTTTTAAAATTAAGTGGTGGTGTTTTATTAATATTAATTTCCTGATTTTGTTGGATGTATTAGAGTCATGTATGAGAGTGTTCTTTTTCCTTTAGAAAATACATATAAGTTTTTGGAGGTAATGGAGCATCATGACTGAATATTCGACTCAAATAATTTAAAGAGAAAGGCACAGATATAGACAACATCTATCTCTATTCTAATAGAGATAGAGATATATAGACAAATGTAACCAAATGTTTACTACAGAAGTGGGAGTTCTTTTTATTGTTCTTGCAATATCTGTAAGGTTAAAATCATTTCAAAATACAACACTTTTTAATGAAGAAAATATGGACCTAAAAAGGTAAACAGCATTATACTGCCATGATGGTATGGTATATATTAATAGGACTTCATACTTGCCAAGCATTATGCTACACTAACCTAAAAATAAAATTACATTTCATCTTATTTTTCCCCCATCATATGTATGGTCTAATACCACATTTGAAAAGAAATTAACAAAAATATGTGTTTTGACGTATGACTAATATATAAAACTTGCAAAGTTAATTACTGAAAAAATTTTTAAGTTAAAAAAAAAGTGTTGGTGTCATTTCCCTTTTCCCCCCAAACTGGTATACACATGCTATACTTTATAGTCAGTCAGGCATTTGGTTTTATCCCAAATGGAAGTAACAATTCAAGTCAATTTGTGCGCTCTCTCTCTCTCTCTCTCTCTTGGCTAGGTATCATATGTCAAAGCTATTGACATTTGGATGGCAGTGTGCCTCCTTTTTGTGTTTGCAGCACTTCTGGAATATGCAGCTGTAAATTTTGTATCAAGACAGCACAAAGAACTTCTGAGATTTCGACGAAAGAGAAAGAATAAGGTAAGCAATTAAATTCATTGGGTTCATTGGGATACCAACTTTCACTAAAAAGTGAATTTGTTATATAAATATATTTTTAAAATATGTTTTTTATTTAAGAGAGGAAGGGAGAGGGAGAGAGAGATAGAAACATCAATGATGAGAGAGAATCATTGTTAGGCTGCCTCCTGCACAACCCCTACTGGGGATCGAGCCTGCAACCCAAGCATGTGCTCTTGACTGGAATCGAGCCCTGGACCCTTCAGTGTATAGGCTGATGCTCTATCCACTGAGCCAAACCAGCTAGGGCTGTTATATTTAATAGGATGTGAAGAGAGGAAGTGGAGACCGGGGACTAAACGTTATGATGTTCCTTTGGTTTTGTCCAACTGAAATTTAAATTGTCAAAAATAGCTTCAGGAAGAAAATGGCGACATCTAGGTATACTGTTGACATGAGAGCTTTCTCAACTTCTTTCTAGTGTATTTCCTGAAAAGACACCATTTTTTGCTTTAATAAACCAAAACATATCATTTCTTATTTGCAATGTTAGTGTGTTTCTGGTGATTTTACTTCACATAAGTCATCAAATATAGTGATTAAAGTTGTTGTTTTTTTTTCAAATGAATTTGTTTCCATCATATATTACCTATTTATTAATACTTTGATGTTCATGTAGAACTAAGAGGTTTTTTTTTATGCATACTTTCATGTTTTAAAGACATTTCTTCTGAATCCCCATGGGAAACACAACATAGTGTTATTTTTGTTCATCAACCTAATAAATTAAACCTAGAAGAAATGTTATTTAGAACATCATTGGGAGATCACAGGAAGTTGTAGAAGTAATCTAATTGGATTTGGATGTACAGAATGGGGTGGTTCCTCTCTATTAAGACTTGCAATGCCATCTCTTCTTAACCAACCCCTTTCCTCTTCTGTGTGGAAGAGTTTCTATTGGCCAGCATATTTACTTCTTTTAATGTGCGTGTGCCAGCTAATATTTTGAAAGAAAGTGGAGTCTTAAGCAATAGAGAAATTTCATAGTTCATATAGTGCACATTTTTAAGGATTTAATTTTTTAAAGGATTCCTTCTGGTTTCTGAATTATTGACAGTGATTTATAGATTCATAAAGCCTTTTAAAGCACTCAGCCATGATCTCTCAGTGCTGAGCCTACTCAGTATTAGTCATCTTCTAAAGCAATAGCTAACTAACTCCCCAGAACCATCATTGCTCCAATAAATATCCAATTCAGTGCAGCATGGAAGAAACATCAGCATTGGGATACGCTGGGTAATTCACTGGACAAAAAACAAACAAACAAACAAAAAACAATGCTAGATCTTGCATTTGATCAATTTTTTATGAAAAGGAAAGCATATTATTTGTACATGAAAACATATTTTGATGGGAGATTTTTTTCATCTCCTTACCCTGTCCTCACCCCTGTCAGCTAGTTTTCTTAGACTTTTCTAGTCCTTCCTCATTCTCCTTTTCTTTCTTTTCTTCCCCTTATTCTGCCTCCCTTACTATCTATTTGCATCCCCTTTCTCTCTCTTGAGACCTGGTACTGGCCGAAACACTGTAACAGGACCAAACAGTTCTGTATCACAGGGCTGAAGCTCTTGTCTTTCCCTTTAATGTTTGATGAAGACAATTTTTCCTTCTAATCTCATTAATCATAAGTAAGGAAATATTTATTTTCCCCTCTCATTTTGGTTCGCTTTTTCACATTTACTTTTTATTTCCCTAACTTTCTCCTCCTTTCTACAATTTAAAATGTATCAATCGTGTATACTGCAAACTCTAGAAATGAGAAGTATTACACATGTGGGGCTATGAGCTCAGACATTGTCTACTACCACCTCATCTGCAACAGTCACAGTATCAAGTGGATAACATAATAGACTACAAATTTACTTGCTCAATTCTGGTTCTTCCTTTTAAAAAATTATCCTTACTGAAGCAGTTCATTATTCAGTTTTACCACCTGTGAGACTATTGGGATACAAATATTTGACATTCCTTCTTTAGTGCAACAAAAGACAGCAAGATTAATTTTCTAATAATTGGCACTCTAGGAAAATGCAAAAATAATATCCTATTGTCTAATCACTATTTGAAATACACCATGTGCAAATATTGTAATTAAGATTTGGTGCAGGAAAAAAAATAATAAAATCCAGGTCTTTTTGTTTTGTTTTGTTTTGTTTTTTAGCTCATTTCATACTTTGGGAAGTGGACACATTGCATATGTAAAAATCTATTAATTGATACATGATTGTTAAAATGGTATATGTAATTGAAACCAATTGTGAAGTTATATTAATCATGTATGCCTGATTCTCTGGTTTCTCAATCCCAGACAGAAGCTTTTGCATTGGAGAAGTTTTACCGTTTCTCAGACACGGTAAATTCACTTTCTTAACTCTAAGTGGAGGAATGTGGTCGTCAGTAAGAAAGCAGAGAGCATATTCTGCACCCAGGCAGTGTTTGGTGGGGAAACATCCCTCTGCATATGTAAAGCCAAAAAAACCACCATCGCCATTCAGCTAAGAATACTCTCTTTTTCTAATAATTCCATTTGTCTTCCCTCACTCAGTAAAAGGATATTTAAATGTTCTTCTTCATCTTATTTAACCAAGATATTTGATCAGTCAAAAAAACTTTAATATATATTAAACAGAAATATTATACATCCCTTATTATAGTCCCCATAAAAAATGCTTTGACAAAGTAAGTTTCAAAATAAATGGGAAATTTATTTATACAAAAAGTTTGAAAAGCAGCTCCTCTTACCAGAAAATAGAAATCTAAAAATTAGGCAAAAATAAAAAGCTTTGTTTTTTAGAACACATTCTGAATGTTAAGATATGTTAAGATAGTATAGTAAATGAATAATTTTGGTTTTGATAGTGGCATCCATTGATATGTTTGATAAGAAGGAGATCACGAGGATACATGTACATATTCAGTGATTGAATTTAAACCTATCAAAGCCAAGAATTTAGTCTAGGCAATCCTATACAAATAGTCCAGTCTACTAACTCAAATTTCTGAGAAAAAAAATGTATTTAAAAAAACCTCTGCAGATGATGCTACCACATGCCTTAGTTAAGAATAGACATAGTGTTAGATGAATATTAAAGTAATCTGAATTTTATAGCAGATATCTAGACCCAGTATTATTTTAAAGCACTTAAGTTTTCTTATATTATAATATATAATCTCTCAAGTCTTTTTCTTTCCTACTAGAATTGCATATTTGTTGTCAACAAAGCTAGCTACTTCTTTTCTTACATGACCCAGTTACCTTTACTTGATTATTTTAACTGTAAATTTGAAACAGTATTATTTGCATTAAATTTGAATAATCACATATAATAGCCTCTTTGGGAGAGGTATATATTTAAATTTCCAGTCACTAAACAGTTAATGCTTATAGGAGCTTTAGTATAAAAGATAAATATTGCTTTATAAAAAATGCAAACAAAGAACTGTGATGAAAAAGCAGGTTTACCTCAGAAACAGTCAATACTGAATTATTTTTTAAAACAAAATGATTTTCAAACAAATTTATTGAAAATTAAATTCATTCCATTTATTTTTATAATAATTGTGAAAATTTTGTGTTAATTGTTTTAATTTTTAAAATATAATTTTCTGAACCTAATAACTCTCTGGGTTGACCAAATTCATCACCAAAAAACAAACAAACAAACAAAAACTATTTGGAAACAGTCCTATCAATCTAAATCTTTGAATCAACATAATAAAAATGAGTCTAAAAGTTAATTCTGTGCCCTTTCTTTTCATGAGTACTACTGGTTTACCTGAAAAAAAAATTTTTTTTTAAACTCTAATTTGTCAGAACAGGCAAAATACAATAGCCTCATTATAGAAAGTCTGTCACAGGAGGAGACCTTATACTGATGTAAATATTATTCCTAGAAAAGTTTTTTTAAATATATTTTATTGATTTTTTTCCAGAGAGGAAGGGAGAGGGATAGAGTTAGAAAATCAATGAGAGAGAAACATCGATCAGCTGCCTCCTGCACACCCCCTACTGGGGATATGCCTGCAACCAAGGTACATGCCCTTGACCAGAATTGAACCTGGGACCCTTCAGTCCGCAGGCCAACACTCTATCCACTGAGCCAAACCAGCTAGGGCTCCTAGAAAAGTTTTAACTTGGTTCAGCAATGACTTAGGCATCATAGACAATTTTTAATACCTTGCTTTTTCCTCTATGAAGGTTCAAGTGAACCTTTTGTCTATTGTGAAAGAATAAAGTTTGCTCTTGTATGCAAATTTCCCCACCCCACACTGTCATAGCCTGCTGTGTGCACATTACCCATTGCACCTGGTCATACTGCTTCTCTCCAGTAATATGTATGCATGGGTGTATGCATGGCATGGAAGTATTTTGGTTAGAAGTTGCTTTTCCCTTGTATGATATCATTGCATTAGAACTGGAGGGTTATTAAGACATGACAAAATATTTCTGAACATATGTGATTTGTTGAGAGATGTGGATGATTTGGGATTGCTTTAGTGCATTTCATGTAGCTTCTTCTGCATTGCAATATAATGTAATGATGCAATGGTTTGCTGAGAGAAAATGCATTCACACAGTATTCTAGCATCTCCATCTTCCTATTTATCATGGTATTCACTTTTATTTATATACACAGTTGAGATAAACATGGACCATTAGTTTTAGGTTTTGAAAATAATTACCCAGTTTATATTTTGCTAGACATGATAGTTATCTTTTAATAATAAAGATATAATTGACTGTATTTCAACTATATGTACAAAAAATCATTATTTTATTTACTTATGTATTTATGTGTTATCTTACTTTAAAAATAACTCAAGGTAACTTCTAAGAATAATGAATAATTGATTTTTCTACCTTGTACATTTTGTCAGCTCCATAATCTTAGGACAAATACAAATATACATGTACTCTATTTTGGTTGAATGGATGATGCTCCAAAGTTGAAAACAATTTGGCACCCATGTACACTAAATTATTTAATAGTTTTCATTATAAGTCAGTTTATGCTATATTCCAGAGTATAAGATATACTTTCAATAGGTAAATATTTCCTACAAATTTCTTTGTTACATATCTAAAGATAAATAGTTTTCAAATAATTTTAAACAAATTCTATTTCAATGATTCTGATACATGAGGGTTAGAAATTTCATCCTCTCTAGTAAAACAAAAATTGTAAGAATTCAATTATTTTCTGAAAATAAATATTTAGAGACTAGGTTCAACAGAGCTATTTTCAGAGCTATTCTGCCTCTGAAATACTTATTTAGGAAAACAATCTATAATAATAAAAGTATAATATGCTAATTAGACCGGATAGTCGAACGACCTTCTGGACGTCATTCCGGATGAAGCCGCCATGGTGGGGGCAGAGGAAGAGACGGTTAGGGGTGATCAGCAGGCAGACAAGTGGTTAGGGGTGATCAGGCAGGCAGGCAGACGGGTTAGGGGTGATCAGGCAGGCAGGGGAGCAGTTAGAAACCAGCAGTCCTGGATTGTGAGAGGAATATCCGACTGCCGGTTTAGGCCCAATCCCTCTAAACCGTCAGTCGGACATCCCCCAAGGGGTCCCGGATTGTGAGAGGGTGCAGGCCGGGCTGAGGGCCCCCCCAGCCCCTGCACAAATTTCATGCACTGAACCTCTAGTATTCAATAAAGTAACATATTCTTTATTTAATTTAATTTCACATGCATTGTAGGGACTTCCATCTCAGAGTTAACTAAAATAGGTTTCTAGTACTGCTTTTTACACATGCTATCTACTACATTATATTATTTCACTCCATGATTATGAGTTGGCACTTTCAGTGGTTCTCAACCTTCCTAATGCCATGACCCTTTAATACAGTTCCTCATGTTGTGGTGACCCCCAACCATAAAATTATTTTCATTGCTACTTCATAACTGTCATTTTGCTACTGTTATGAATCATAATGTAAATATCTGATATGCAGGATGTATTTTCATTATTCGCTACCCACAGGTTGAGAACCGCTGATAGAAATAGATATTCAGATAATTTAAAATTATTTAATTGATTTCTTATCAGTCTAAAATATAGAAGATTGAATTAAATTTTCATAATATTTCAAGTAAAACATTCATTTTAAGCTGACATTTTACCATTCAACAATCTCCAAACCATATCTGAATCTAAATTCAATATGCCAAGCATAATTCATAACTAATTCAAATACCATCTATAATAAATGCAAGGTTTTCATAAGAGCGAGGTTTTAAAGAATTTTATACTGATAATTGACTTGCAACAATAAAGTATTTTAACCTCATCTATAATTGCATTTTTAACACTTCTATTTTTAAATAATATATAAATATATACAGATGTATTAAACTGAATATTTTACTTTAGGCTAACACTTTAGAAAAAACAATATTTTAATTATTCATGTTTTTTATCTTACCTTAGAATTGTCTATGTGATGGTGATTTTTCCCAACAAAAATAAACCATTATTTTATTAGTAATTTTTTTCAAAATCCACACACTTTGAAATCATGTAACTGAAAATTAATAGCTTTTCATATTTTCTCCATCTGTCACTTTCCTATTTGGCAATTAAAAGTTATAGAAAATTATTTTAACAAAATGACCTTTGGGATAATTTGGTTAAAATCATCATTGTATAAAAACACCCCAAAAGAACAAGAAAGAAAAAAACATCCCAAAGGTATCTACTAGGGAAGAAACATTAAGATAAAAATAACATATTTAATGCTGCTGTATCTCATAGCAATTCACACAATCATTACTAACCCTTTTTGATACTTAATGTTTATTTACCACTCACTGACAATCTTCATGCCTTCACCACTCCTTCACCATATAAGATTTTTTTTGTCATTTTTTAAGAGCTAAGAATAGGATAGAAAATTCTTACCTCTTATGTATATTATAGTTGATGATAGAGATGAATGAAGCAATTCAACTGAATGGCTATACCTATGCTTGGATTTTCAATCTATCTCCTGTTATGTGAATCAGCCTTTAATATAATCTATATGTATATAAAAAGCCAGCAACCAGAATGCCATAATGACCAGAACGACTAGTCACTAGGACACCCACTGTGGCCAGTGAACTGGCCTGATCGGGGGGTGGGGCCACCGGACAACCTCCCATGGCCCCTCCCCCCAGATGGCCCCACCCCTGATCAGCCTCTCCCACCCTAATCGAGGGCTGGGCTGGCCTGTGGGAGGGCGGGGTGGCTGGCCAAACCCCCTGCAGCCCTTCCTCCAGGCCAGCCCCGCCCCTGATCTGCCCATAGTCCCTCCCCCCAGCCGGCCACACCCCTGATTGCCCCCGCACCCCAATAGGAGGCGAGG